TTTCATTAACCCAAATATAGGTTTTCAGAATAGCACACAGATGCCAGAGGAATGAGTAAAGCTTCAGGATGCACCTCAGCTAGATCTGGGTAGGGACAAAAACAGACTGTTTGTGTCTAGACTTTATTACTCCGAGGTTTCTTAACTGCCAATAAAGTTAAAATGAATCCTGTATGGTTAGTGTCATGAATACCCTAAAAACACCTTGAAACAGCTCAGAGGATGCTTGCACTCATCTGGATTTTGCCTAAGTTCTACTGAGTCCCGAGGTCAAATTACATAAAGATGTACATGAAAACAGAGATATAATACTTGGTGAGCTCCAAGAGAACCAAATTATGTCATTGATTAATTTCATCCTGTCCAGTCCCTCCTTCACCTTCTGTATCTACTTAAAAAAATAAATGCATTCAGCTTGTCACAAATTTTATTTTATATCTCCACCTAGTACCATTTCACATTCTGCTTAAGTACTTGGTCATCTATTACATGACTCATTAGTTTGAGTTCTCAGTAGAATTAAAGAAAGTTGCAGTAAAAATAATAAATGGAACCTAAGTTTCAACTACATCATCCATGCATGTTTTAAAAGCATCTTTCAAAGTCAATTCAAACTCATATACAATGCCAGGGATTAGCACTCCATCAACCTCTTTGCTAAACTTTTTTCCTTGCCCCATTACATTGAAGTATTGATGAGTAAAATGGCAAATGTTTCTCTTTATTGGGATTCAAATCAAAGTGCATAAAACTGGATCAGATAAAGACTTCTTCCCATATAAAATTTGATTCAGGGATGCTTCCGTTTTTCCTTCAAACAAAATTTGTAGTTACTACTGTAGTCAAGAAATTTAATAAAATAAAGGTTTTCTGCTTCTGTCCCTTAAGGAAAATTTGGTGATGTTCCTAATTGCAGAATCTTCCAAAGAGATGTGACAAGGTTTCCTGAAGGTGTATTTGAATAATTACATTTATAGACTATGTAAATGCAATGTAGTGCACTGTGGGTACACTACTAGGTCAGGGAAAAAATGGTTTTAATAGGAAAAGGAAACTTGACAAAAAGTTATTTATCTCGCAAATAAAAATATTTTGTTCCCACTGAATATATGTCATTAGATTGAAAAGCATTTTCCAATATTTCCAAAGTTCCCAGAGATCATGGATTTTAGCAGAAAGCCAGGCAATATAGTGGAACTATCACATACCTCTTTTTTTGGCATCATTGGTTTTTTGGAGTCATGCAGGCCTGATTTGAATTCCAGTGTTGTTATCTGTAAACTGTATGACCCTGGGTAAATTTCTTAACCTAGCTGAGTCTCTGTTTCCTTGTATGTACAATGGGAATTGACTATTTACCTTGTGCACTGTTGTAAAGATTAGAGATGCTGTGTGTAAAATATCTAGCACGGTGTATGGCACACAGTAGTCACTCAGTACATTATAGGTACTGTTATTTTGCTACATTAGAGCTGGTAAGGAGATTATCTTGAACCCTTCTTCAGTTTACAACTGAGGACTCTCAGAACCCAGTGTTTAAATGCCCGATGTCACAAAACTTGTCAATGGCATTATTAAGTCTTAGTGTTCAGGGAGATGAAACCATAGTGAGGTACAGTGACTTATACAGGGTTATTCAACAAACATGGGCATTACACGGATTGAACAAGAAAGTCCAGGCTCCAAACCTGATATTCACCACAATTTGCTGCCATTTCTCAAAAACAAACAAACAAAAATCCCATGGCTTCTGACCTTTTGCCTTTTGCTGACCAGTTTTTAATCCGATTTGATAATTTACTCTGACTTTAGGACAAATGATCTCAAAAGCAAATTTTATTTCATCCTATTTTTAGAATAGATTCAGAAAGTAAATTAGCTGTCTTGCAGATTAGCATTTATTTGACTTACCTTGCATAATTAAGGACAAGTTGGAAAGCCTGCCTATAATTGCAATATGTTACTTGTTAAAGTCTTAGAACAAGCTCTCTTTCCTAACCTAGAAATGGTACTCCCTAGATGTACATTTCCATTTTCTACTGATCTACAGCTTTTCTTTATTAGCTTCTAGGTGGAGGGAAAAATCAAACCTCTTTTTAAAGAAATCTATTAAACATTTGCTGTTTTTTAAGGGGGAAGGAAGAAAGAGCTGATGTGCATGATAGTTGTGAAGCAAACAAACAAATTGGGCTTTCTTGAGACAAAGAAGCTGCAGGAGAACCTCAAAGATGAAATTAGTAATTAGCAATATTCTCCTCTCAATTTGCACACTGTGCTTTAATAATTTCTTGCATGATTTTTCTTCTGTGGAAGTCTGTGCAATTGCCCTGCAGCATTCCACATAATGAGAATCTCATTTCTGGTTCACTAACAAGGGTGAGTGCTATCTATATTCAGCATGGAGACAGGTGTTGTGGATAGGCACCTAAGTGTTCTGACCAGCATTTCCAGAGCAACTAATGTCTGGACATAGGTTCTACCATGTGAATGATTTTAAAGATCACTAACAGCATCTTCAAACACTGTTAGATGGTTGAAGGTGATGTGGGGACACCTAGTATGAGCCACACATCCCACTCCTTTATGCATTCTAGTTCACTCACTGCATCAGAGCAGATGTTGGCAGCACTAGCTCTGGGAATGTTACGTGAAAATGGTCCTGTATGAATTAGACATTCAGCTGTCTGAAGGCTGGGTTAGATGTTCTTAGGGCCCCTTACTGCTTTTGGATGAATAAAGTGTACCAGATTATGGGAAAGACCCCTCTTGGATAGAAAGATGAGTAAGTCAAGCCAAAGGAAAATGCACTACTAACTATGACAAGAAGAAAAACTTAGTTAATATTAGCTTTAATAGACATATAAATTTTGGCACTCTCATTACTGATGCTTCAAGAGTTCGTGTAAATCCTGTTCATCAGGACTCTATTATTGCTGCTTTCCAAGCAAAAAGCTGCAGTGAGCCAATTATTTGCTTTATTTGGAAAAGCCAAGGTATTTATTCTCTATGTGGCAGGTTGAATGTGGTAGGCGAGATGAGTGGTTTTCATACTAGCAGCAACTCAGGTGGATGTCAATTTCGGGCACAATGCAAGCTTGATTCCTCTCTCTTTCTTATGCAAAATCATTATAATACCCACAAGAGTTTCAAATCTGTGTAAAAGATGGGACCCAGCCTAATGTATTTCCTTGAAAGATGAACTGATTAAATGTTGCATCTGTGTTATTCATTCATTCATTAAATACTTATTATGGACCTACTATGTATAAGGAATGAGAGCTGGCATAGAGTAAAAAAGAAACACTTTACCATAATACTTGGGGGGGCTTATGTTTCTTTAAGGAAAAAAGTTGCCCCTTTAAACAGCATTAAAACCCCTTTTCAGAATACCTGGCATAGATAAGAGTTACATAATTGATCAATTACACAATAAGCATGTGCAGGGGATCCCACACTGCTAGAAGTTGGTGGGGAGGTGGGGAAAATTAAAAAAAATATTAGATTTAGTTTCTAATCTCAAGCAACTTACTTCGGTAGAAAAAACCTCCTACTCACGAAAGAACTGGAAAGCAAGAGAAGACAAAATATAATCAAGTGCTAACTGGGTAGTATAGACACTGTTAAAGAAATTCAGATTTAACAGGCTGTGCTTAGCCAGAGGGGTTTTATGAAACAGAAAGGCCTTGAAGAAAGCGAAGGCTTTAAAGTCTGATAGTAGTTGGAACTTAATCCCAATGTGGCAAATGTCAAATGGCTAAAGAGTAACCTCTTAATATTTGAAATAATAAGTGACCATGTAACAAATTAAACACATTGACCTCGCTATAGTTATTGGCATGGAAAGAAGTTCGTAATACATTAAGTATGAAAAGCAGGCTATTGAACAGCATTGTATGATATAATTCCACTCTTAGAGAATTAAAATATATGATATGCATGGAAAAAGGTCTAGAAGGATAAACACTAAAACATAAACAATGGTTTTCTATAGGTGATAGGATTATGGTGATTTTAATTAAAAATATTTTTTCGTTCTCTCTTTTCTAATTTTTTTGCAACAAATGTGCATTATTTGTATAATAATTAAAAAACACATTGGCTTTGTATAAAATCTGGTAAAAAAATACTTTGAAAACCCACTAAAATAGATGTCCACATACATAAACACACACACATCTTGGAAAAGAAACAGAGGAGTGATAAAGTAACTCAAGAGATAGGGTAGATAATATATGAAGACACACTTAAAAATTGACTATCCTTCAGCTTAGAGACCTAACGTGGGCATATAATCCAAGTGTATGTAATCACGAAGTTAACTAGGAGACACAGATTTGTTCACTAATTTCCAGGCAATCGAATTGAGGGTTGGTCCTCGAAGACTGAGTAGTAAATTTAGAACAAATAAAAGTAAGGTCGAGCTCCCACAGAATGCAAAAGAAAAAAAATTGTAATTTGTTATCTTAGAGGTGATAAAAGTATAAAATATAAGCAGCTTCAAGAATGATTTAGATAAATTAACGGAATAAAGTTTCATTAAATGTTGTTAAGCAAAAGTCAGGAATATTTAGGGTCTATGAGATATTCAACGTATTTGGCAGTGGTAGAAGGTGGGCACAGACTTGATTCAATCAACGCAGGCCACAGAGCTAAAGCACGGGTCTGGAGGCTCTCTGCTGGGACACATTAGCCCTGTAGTTGCTGTACTGTGGGGAGTTTCCAGGCCGTAGTCCCAGGGGAAAGGCCTCTGGGCAATAGTTATTTATCAATCAGAAAGGAAACATTTCAATCTTTCAATAAAATTTATGAACAGACAAGTGCATATTGGCTAAAAATTTGTCTTAGATGTGCCTATTTTCTGGGATAGAATTCAGAGATGTTTGTTAGAGGAAGAATATTGAGATGGATGGATTATACTATGGCAACAGTCTTAGGATTTCGTGAAGTCAAATGGATCTTTAGATGGCCAAAGGATGATTTATTCATTTTCTTTTTTTTACCTCGAGGGCTGTTCAGTGAAGCTTCTGATGCTCTTCCACCATCTCCACAGTGACTCTGGTCAAAGGGAAGGCACTGATCACCTGTTCCTGCCACCACTTCAAAATTCTTGGACAGATCTTTTGTTTCCACAAGAGATTTCAACTTGTAGACTTTTCGTGTATTGGTGTCTGACAGATAGAGTGATTCAGATACAGGGTCCATAGCCAGATAGTATTTGTGAGCAGGACTTGTGCTAAGGAAGAGAAAAGTAAAGTTATTCAAAGCAATTTGCTCAATACGTACCCTCCGGGGTCTGCCTTTTGTTACAAATGGAAAAGTCTCTTAATAGATGAAATAATTCATTTATCTTCTTTTGTATGTACCAAGGGGATGGACACTTTGTTTTTCTAGTAATGGTCAAGGTATGAGAAAAAAAAAATATCCATTGTGTACCGCAAACCTGTAATGATGCTGACATTCCAATAGCATCCATTTGGGGATAGAAAGAAACAGAAGAAAGAAAATCCCAAGATATCACTTTTCTTATACTTTTCATACCCAGTTATCTAATAACCTACTAGATGACTGCCTGGATGTATCACAGTCACCTCAAACTCAAAACCAAACCAGAAGTTATTTTCTTTTCTTGCCTTTCCCATCCTTTATAAACCTACTCCTTCTATTCTGGGCTTCCTGCCTCACTTGGGGACACAACCATCCTCCCAGGCTCCTGCTGTCAATTGAAAGGCATGTCCAAAGCTAGAAGAGTGTTGCTGAGGGATGGCCATGCTGGGGCTACACTGCCACACTTTTCCTCTCCAAGTTTCCCTTCTTAGCTGACAACCACACTTCTCAAATCTATTTTTCTTCTATCAGGACACAATAAAACTGATATTTAACTTTTTAAAATCACAATCATATGACTGTGTAATCACATAGTCATCCCTCCTAAAAGTGACACTAAAGTTACCTTGACTGGATTTTGGTGTTCCTAGATCTCTTCAATTAAGTATTCACATGGGACCTCGTGTTAGTGTTATTTTTATCTGCATAGATGGCTGAGCTCATTCATTATTTTTGATTCTTTCCAATTTCCTTTTTTCAATGGCTGCAGTCACTTTGGTTTCGGCGATATTTTATTTGAACCTAAGGTTCATGTACTACTGATATCATCCAAGCTCCAAACCTGAAAGTCGTCCCTGATCCCTCCTTTTCTCTCCACATGCAAACCAGCTTACAGAACCATTCTCTTCTTCCATCCCTTCTGCCAGGACATTAGTTCTGACTTTCACCACCTCTAGACTGGAGTGTATTCTATAGTCTGGCACATGGGAGGTGTTTTTGAAATCTTAAATCCATTTTTTCCCATACTGTCTTTAGGGATATTCTGATCATTTGGCTCTCATCTTTAAAAATGTTTACATGTTCCTGGTGTGGTATACAAGCCTTTCTTCACTAAATTCATTCTCACACGTCTTTCAAGGCTTTACTCAGGCATCATCTCCGGAAGGAAGCCTTACCTAACACCCCAGTCTGGGTTATTTGTACTACACTTGCCTCTTTTCTGGGGATTACATATCATTACATTACTTGTCTATATGTTTGTATGTCCCCCCCCACAATAAACCATGAAAGCTTAGAGGACAGAAACCTTGTCTTACTTATTTCTAATGTGCTCAATGCCCGGAACTGCCTAGCACCAAGTTGTCTAAGCCAGAAACCATTCTTTTCCACCTCCTCTTTCCATCATTCTCCACATCTAGTGAAAAAAGTTTTGTTTTCCATTCTACATCTTAAATTCTTTTCCAGTCTGCCCACTTCTCTTTATCCCTGTTGTCATTAGTCTAAAGCCTCATTATCTCTCATCTGAACTTTTTCCTTGGTACCATTTCTGTATTATGTATTTGTTTATTAGTTTGTTAAAAAGCATTTACTAAGTGCATACAACATACCCAAGAACTGTGTTATGGTCTGGAGACCTACTTGTGGCCAAGATACAGCCCCTTCGTGAAACTCAGTCTAGTGGAGGAGACAGATAGGTAAACAGGATATGATTGTCCTAAGTCCAAGTGTCATGACAGGAGAAGTAGAGAGCGAGAGAAATGAGCAGAGGACAGACTTGTGACTTAGCAGCACCTACCATATTGTATTAGCATTATATTAAAAGAATTATTAACTGAAGTCCATACTTTAGATTCCTTAGTTTTTACCTAATATTCTTTTTCTGTTCCAGGATCCCATCCAGGATACCAAATTATATTTAGTCGTCATGTCTCCTTAGGCTCTTCTGGGCTGTGACAGTTTCTCAGACTTTTCTTGGTTCTGATGACCTTAACAGTTTTGAGGAGTACTGGTCAGGTATTTTGTAGGATGTCATCTACTGGAATGTGTCTGCTTTTTTTCTCACAGACAGGGGTTATGGGCTTTGGGGAGGAAGACCACAGAGGTAAAGTGCCATTCTGATAGAATCATATCAAGGGTACATACTCTTCACATGACTTACTTCTGATGAGGTTGATCTTGATCTCCTAGCTGAGGTAGTGTTTCTCAGGTATCTCCAATGCAAAGTTACTCTTTCTCCTCCACTTTGCATATTTTACTCTTTGGAAGGAATTAACTGCACAGCCAACACTTAAGGAATAGGGAGTTAAGCTCTACCTCCTTGAGGGTGAAATATCTACATAAATTATTTGGAATTCTTCTGAATGGGGCCTTTATTTCTTCTCCTCCATTTATGTATGAATTTAACCATCTACATCAGTATGGACTCATGAATATTTATTTTATACTTTAGATGAAATCTAGTGCTATTTTACTTTGTTGTGGAAATTGTTTCAGCCATTGGGATCTCTTTCTGTTGGCTCGTGTGTCCCTTTGCCATACCCCCATCAATGTGGGTTTTTTCTTTTCAGCACTTTCTTTCTGGCACTGTAAGATGTTCCAGGCTTATCTTGTATACTCCTTGCCCCAATCCTAGAATCAGCCATTTCTCCAAGGACCCCTGGTTCCTTTTATTGGAGAATGGTATGAAAAACCAAGATCTGGGTGCAGGGTGTCAGCACTATTTTTTTTCACACATCTCTCTGTCCAACTACACTGTGAGCTCTGTGAAGGCAAAAACCATATTCATCTCTTTATCCTCAGTGCCAACAGAGTGCTTAACAAGGTTAGTGTTCAGTAAGTGCTGAACTAAACTGACCTGTAGGACATAAAACTAAGACATAAAAGAGTTCAGGCCTTGGCTATTAACCCAAGCAAAATGGAAGGGTAAGTGTCATTAGAACAATTAAGATGTCTTTAAGAACTGGCATGTTTTTAATTGTGTTTGTAATTGTATTCACCCTCTATACATATTTATGTATATTAATAATAATAAGACTGGTAAATAGTAATTTGAGACTCAGTTTATAGTTTTAGTTGGAAAAAAATCAGGTCCAGTTGGAATACTTGGTATTTTTCTACTTACCTTCATCAAGTAAGAGAATCCGGTAGATTCCAGGGACATCTTCAACCCTGGAACCACCATGACAGGTGCTGTAAATAAACTGTAAAGGGCCCCATAGACTCCAGAGTTGATTTGGTAACCATACTAAACAAGGCATCTCTGTAGCAAAGACTACTTAAATAGGGGTTTGAGTAAAAGTTTTTACATATTTAATTGAATTTTTGCATTCAGAATAAAATTTTTCCAAAGAACTTAGATTTTTCTAGAATAAAGAAGGGGTCACAACCCTTCCCCCAAACAATCTTCAATACTTTGGTTGCCAGTTGGTGGAGTTTCAACTGAACCAGATTAATTATGCTTTGTTTAGGAAAAGTCCGTTTCTATTTTTCCAAGAGAAACGTTATTCACACAAAAGCACTTTGGGATGCATTACATTCATTCCTTATTGGATATCCCCAATGTGTCTGTGATGGAAATTAGAATTAGCACTCATTTCAAATGTCAGTTGGGGAAACTCAGATGCATAGAGGGCTTGCCCAGGGTCACTAACAAGTCTGGGCCAGGACTAAGATTAGATTAGATCACATGTCACTATATGTGCAAAATACCATCAGAATACTCTTGTTCTAAAAGTGGCAAAACAAAACAAAAAAAATCAATGTTCCTGCCTTCTTGTAACTGAGCAACATGTCTTATTTTGTTCAGCTAGGCTGTTCTCAAACTTTGTGTATTGGCCTTTAGAAAATGGAATAGCCTGACATACAAATTCAAATCTGATTAATGTTATTTTCTTGACAGCCAACAGTCAGGAGTGTCCCCTATATCAACATGTAATTGGCCACTTTGTGTCATTTCCCAAGTGCACTTCAGCTCTTTTGAGACTGCTTTCTTTCTACTTTCTGAAAACATGCCATACCCGAGAAAGAAAAACCACTGGATTATATTCCAATTTGCTTTAATCCCTTGTGTCAAAATGCATATTGCAATTTGAGATATGTGAAGATTTCTTTTATAACTTGGGTGTTAGACTTACTGTCACCTTCTGGTTAGTTTTACATTCAAGCAATGCCCTTTAGCTTAGCAGAGATCACTTCATTCATGCTAGTTAAAATCACATAGATTGTTAAATGGGCAATTAATGCTTATAATTAATACTGTGTAACACTTTACCAGTAAGCAATTTGACAACCAACTTAATTTGCTTAAGGAATCAGTTATGCCAAGGCAGCAAGGCTGATCTTTTGCACTGGTGTTTAGGAAGTGGCACCTTCCAAAAGAAATCCAAATTAAAAGCCTATCAGTGCCATTTTGATGACAATTGGCAATCAGAGTGAACTAATTCAATTTTCTCCTCTGCAATTTCAGGTAACTTAGAACAGTTTTGACAAGTGTAATGCATAAACAAATTGAATAGAAATACTCATTACGATTAATTTCAGAGCTATGCGCCATTGTCGGTAAATGGTCTGTTTAGAGTTTTTCTACTACTTTTATTTGGTGGGGAGAAATAGAAAGTATGAGGTCACATAAAAGAAAAAAAAGTAATATCTTAATACACCTGTCAACTATACTTCTAGATCTAGGGAGATTGCTGTATTACTTTTCTCTCCACCTGCAACTTGAAAACATCTAATCTTTTTGAACTTACAGACATATTTGTGATATCACTGTAGGGAAACATAATGAGACTTAAGGCCTTGTTTTACTATGAGGCACTGAACTGCCAGCTTTCCACTGATCTTATTTTCTTTTCAGTATATTCTGATTCCTCAGCAAATTTCTACTCAATGGAGCCCTCTTCTTTTGGATGACACTTACCTGAGTCATAACTTCCAAACTCACTTTCAAACTATTCCTTTAACCTTATTTAAGGAGCAAAAATTCCCTGTTAGCGCATTATTAAGAAGTGGCCTCTTAGGCAAGAGGGGGCATTAGGCAGCTGCCCATGTGATTTGCTTACCTATGTCTGGTATCTCTGTTTCTAGGATGCACAAGGTATCCACGAGTAGCAAGTAAAAGCAAATAGAGAGTCATCAGTATCATTCAACAAACCAAATCTAACCAGACACATGGATTCCTAACTCAGCTTGTGGCTATTAGAGAGACTCTACGGGGATCATTTAGTCAGGAGTACAAGCCAGAGTTGACCTAATCCTCCTTCCAGGTTTCTCCTCCTAAGATGATGTCAAGGTAATTGTAAATTTTGCTTGGTGGGTGCACAAAGTTCTAAGGCAGAGTTTTCAAAAGGTTCTCCCTGGCCCATCTGCATCAGAATCACTTGGGTTCTTGCACGTGTGCACTTTCCTGGGGCTCTCACCAGCCTTACTAAATCAGAATTTGCAGGATGGGGCATGCGCATTTTATTTTTAACAAACTTAGCTGGTGATTCTGATGCAGAGTGAGGTTTAAGAACCACTGGGCTACGGGTTAAAGCAGCAGCCATGGCAAAGGGTCTGACCATTCTAGGTTCTGTATTGATAGCCATAACATCCTATCAAAAGGTAAAATCACTGTTTTATTATCAAGTCAGCAGACATTCCAACTCTAACCCTGAGCCACTTATCTATCTCAGAGATAAGATAGGAACATGTGCTGTGCACATTTTTTAGCAATATTAAAAAGTTTCCTAACAAGTTGAAAGTATAAGGGTTTTCTTGCTTTCTTTTCTTTGTTTTAAAGGGTTTTCTCTCAGACCATGACAGAATGTCCCTGGCATCAAAACTGCTGCATCAAAGTAGCTTCAATAAAACATCACGTACATCAACTATTAGGTTAGCCATCCGTGCTCCAAGGGGGCAACTGGGGTGAGCAAAACAAAACTGTCAGGCCAGAGGAAGCAGAACACTTTGGTGGCCCCTGATTTGTAAACCTTTTGGCACAGGGTATTGCCCAGGGCATTTCACTCTGGGACCTGCTATGAAGCTTCTTACACAGGAGGTGCAGTTTGTGTACAGGCCTGACTTTGGGTCAAGTCTGCCTGGAATTAAAAGGCTGTAATCATTTGTAAAATACAGTCTTTTTAATTTTAAAATCCTTTTAAATCTGGCCCTTATGTCATTTTGAAAACATGAAGATAACAAATCTTTTATCTAAACTGGAAAATGTTCTTATTCTTTGGAATGTCAGGGAAGAAGAAAAGATACAAAGTTATTTCATTTGAAGCCATCTGGTACAACAGATTCAACTGTGCTTAAAAAGAACCTTTCTGGGCTTTTACTAGTTGGGCTACAGGTCAGGATCCACTGACTTTTCTGTTTCTCTGGCCTGTCCCATAAGAATAGGTATCCTGTGAGTTGACACAAAGGTCAACCAGTAAGGATAGGGAGCTCAGGTTAGAAACCTGGCCTCAGGTATTTGCACCTCTTTCAATTTCTTTGTCCCTAGACATTTGCTTGTTTTTGTGGCCTCTAAATTATGGGGTGAGTGTGCTTGAGGCTGGCTCTAATCACTGTAACATAGTTGATCCTCCTGAAGGAAGTTTAGTTCTGAAAGTATTAGAAGGATCTCATTAAAATATGGTTTCATCTACAACAGATTCTCATGGAACAGAACCATTTATGTGGCTACAAAGGGTTTTGAAATTCTTAGGTGATGGCAAGAAGGGGGAAGGGGGATGGTTTGACTTTCTTGCAGCTGCTTCTGATCCTGCCAATAATGTCACTGTGAATTTGGAAAGATGTCCCACATTATGCAGAGCAGCTTCTTTCATTAACATCTCAGAGGGAGGAAGTGAAAATCACAGAATTTATTTCCAGTGTGTGACCTTGTTCTGTCTCAGAATTACTTTTAGTTAAGGACTCAGAACTGAGCCACCACCAAAGTTGGCCTTCTGTCTAGCTAGCAACTGACTACACGCTGAGGTGCCAGTGTGTGAGCTCTTCACACATGCCTAGGCCCATCAGTGGGCATCACCACTTGGCAACTGACTGGCTTGAAGCTTGCCATGAGTTAGGAGGAGAAGGGAGTGGAACTGCAAATCTTTTCAGAGCAAGAAATGCTCCTAATGATAGGGTCTTTAAGTTGATATTTGATTTTTCTCAGAATTCAGGTGATGAAAAGGGCCATCTACTCTTCTTTTTTAATTTAAAAGAAAATTATTGAGGTCTGATTTATATACCATAAAATTCACCCTTCTAAAACATACAATTCAGTCATTTCCAGTACATTCAGAGAGCAACCATTACCATCATCCAATTCCCAAATACTTGCATCACCCCATGAAGAAACTCTGTACCTTTTAGCAGTCACTTCCCATTCACCCCTCCCCCAGCCCCAGGCAAACACAAATCTGCTTTCTGTCTCTATGGATTTGCCTATTCCGGATATTTCCTATGAATAGAGTCACACAATATATATCCTTTTGTGTCTAGCTTCTTTCACTTAATATAATGTCCCATCTGTTCTTTTTATATTTTTGTGGGGTGAGAAATGGAAAAGAGGGGATGTGTCAACTCTGGAGCTGCTGTCTAGTGACCTGGCATCATGGGAGTTTGACTGACCTGCTCTGTGGTGGCTGCAACCTTTTACTTGTTCTTCATGCTGTTCTCAACTTCTTTCCTTACTCTTGGCCAGAAAAATATAATGTCAAAGAATGGACTGCCCTCCCTGCTCGTCTTTCCATGGTTTTTTTCCTTTGAACACGCAGTGCCCAACCTGCTTGTCACTGACTTCTTAGAGCTTCTAACTCCAGCAATCTTCATCCAAGACTACCTTCCCCCATGTTCTGGTTCTGCCCCTTGCCCTTACCACAACTTACCTGTTTTGTGTTTTAAGGTCTTGCTCTCACCTAGAAAAGCACTCTAATAAAGGAATCCATGCCAAGGGACTAGTGAATGATTTTTAGCTTGATGGGCCATTCTAAAAGAAGTTCTTGTGTTGAGGACTCTTAGAGGTGCAATGTCTTAACTCAAAGGATCACAATTCTTACATAGGAAATTTTGGGCACTGTGAAAGGTCAGCAAAGATGTTTTTGGCTGTGGTGGAGGGAGCCTTTGAGTGCCACTGCTAATTCATGAGATCAAACTGGGAAGGTAACCACCTATTTCATTTACATGTAGTGTTTCTACTATTCGTAGCTCCAGTGCTGCTGACAAGAGGATGGTTCACGGCCATTTATCAGATATTGACAGAGCTCTCAAAGCCCAGGTTCCATTTGTTCTTTCAGCAGAGTTCTCTACAAGTTCCACTGCCCCTCAGCATGCTAACTGTTCCTAAATGGGTGCTTTCCCAGTTCTACTCCATTCCCAGTCAATGACAGGAGTCAAGTCCTGAGAACAAAGTAAGAAATATTAACCAGTCACTGGAAAAGAAACAGTACAATCTCAAGAGAAATTTTCATGTCACGTTGACATTTGTCGAGTCCAAATTATTCAAGGTACCAAGAAGCATTTACCAGGCTCTTATTTTCTTCTCTTTTTCATTTTTAAGGGAAGGAAAAAATAAATATCTGGAGAAAAACAAAATCCCACATGATAGCAGCATGAGGTTTTTATAAAGAATAAATCATTTCTAGTCATGCTTAATGGGTTTTCTAATAGAATTGTAAAATTAGAAGATGAGAAGAGGGCAAGGAGATATTACATATTTGAATTCTTACAAAGCACTTGATAGGTGTCTCCTATTTTTACTTATATAATTATCCCTGTTTGTTTTAGAAAACCAAAAAGTGGCCCTGAGGCCATAATCAAAGAAAAAAGGATCAAGGTTATAACTGATGAGAAATGATTGAAGGACTTCTGTTGTTGAGATTGAAGAAGAGAAAGCTCAGGAACCTATGATAGCTGTCTTCAGACCTGTGAGAGTTTGTCAGGTTAAAGAGGAAAGTAACTTCTATGCTGCTTCAGATGCTAACATTTGCCACTACTGAATGGATGTTTCATGAAGGCAGATTTTGGCTGAATACGAGAAAGAATTTTCTAATGGAGCAGTCCAAAGATGCAGTAATCTATCTTAAGAGATATTTAAGTTTCCCGTTATTGAAAGGAATCAAAGTAGAAATGACAAACTGTCAGGCATGCATTGGGCACGATGTTGGTCCTGCTATCTTCTTGGATCCTTCTAATGCTAAGCTCACAAATCTGTGATTCCACTATTGTGCTACTGAAATATATGCATGTATACATATGTATATGTATGTATATACATATATAAAGTTTTAACGTGAGAAGCAAATCCCTAGAGAAATCAAGACCTAAACTATCTCACACAGAAATGAATCTATCTTAGAAAAATATTCATGGAATGTATTTTTGAAATCCTCTTAGGTTTAGTTGCATGACCTTATAAACTACCTTTCTTTATTATCTTATCTCCGTCTCTCACTGGAGGGAAACACTAAGATGTGTATGTGTGAATGAAATCTGCAGGAAACAGGCAAAGGAGTACTACAGACTTAAATAACAAGAAATAATATTGTTTCTCTTGGCAGATTTCTAATGATAATGATATCACTGACTTTTCCTTTCCCACCTTGTTCAGCCAATGGGAGACCAGCTAAAGGAAATAGATCTCTCTCTCTCTCTCTTTTTTTGGCAGCTGGCCCGTTTGGGGATCAGAACCCCTGACCTTGGTGTATAACACCATGCTCTAACCAACTGAACTAACCGCTCAGCCTAGCTAAAAGATATAAATGATTGGCAACCAATTAAAATGAAGTTTTTTTTTTTGAAGTCAGGTTAAAGAAGCTCAATTGGGAGCAGTTTGAATCAGTAGGTCTGAGGTAGGAAAATCTATAGTCTTCAAATCTTCAAAATGTCAAGGGGCATCTGGAATTGTTCAGTGTGGCCCAATATGGAACAATAGGATGGAAGAGGAGGAAATCTAGAAAGACATCCCTTAGGGGCAAACTTTATGCCCTCTGTAAATGCCATCAAACTTTGGGCTAATGACATATCTGTGGATCTCAAAACAAGTTAAACTGTATGTGACATGTAAGAGGATGCTCAAATATAAATTCGAAGTCAGTTTTATAGATATGGAAGTAGAGAACAGAGTAGTTAATGAATAACCTGAAGGTCAAGATCCTATTCCCTTCTATAATAACCTGTTGACAATATTGCACCTCATTTCACAATTTTCAATATAGCCAGTAACATAATGACTATATTAGTCTGTGTTTCTAAGGAAACAGATGACTCAACGAAGCAAAAAGCCTAGTGTGCACGGGGTGGGTAGCAATTAAATTAACTGATCTTAAGAAAAAAATGAAGTTTCTATCTAAATACAGTAGATTTCAATGAACATTACAGTTCTTAAGATAGCATGGCCTTATTAAATCAACTTATTTCTCTCCAGGAAGTTTAAATCTGGAAAAGTTATAAAGCAAATATATAAATTCACCAATTACATATAAAAGATTCAATGTACACAGATAGGCTGCTCATCAGCATATTTTTTTTTAAAAAAATGAATCTAATAAGAACTATTATTAGTTTCTGAGTGAGCATGACAGCTAATATGTGCTGACATAAACTAGTTTGATGGTTTTGACTATAGTCAAACAGTTAGGGAGTTACCTGTCAATTAGATCAAAATGATCATGTATATTCAATCAGCTTTTTCCTCTGATGGCCAATCACAGGAGTGTTGAAATAGAGAAGGGAGAATTGTTTTTTCTCCTTGAACCTAATGCAGGGGATCTTAACCACGAGTCTATAAAAGGGCTTCATCTACAGGGACAGGTTGCTGGTGGGGAAGTCAAGGGAGGGAAAAAATGTGATCCCTTAAATCACATGTGCAATTTTGCTTGATGTGTTTTTTCTAGGGAGAGGACCCATAGCCTTCAATAGATTCTCAAAGGAGTCTGAGACCAGCAAAAAAATGTTAAGAAGTACTCTACAGGATATTGGCTCAGAAAAACCACCTAGGGAGACTCAGGCTAAGTGAGAGAGCTTGGGTGTGTGAGCTTACGGTGTGTGCATGCCTGTGTTTGAAGAGCTGTGACAATGAGAAAAAACAGCGTTGTGGACTAAGAATGAATAGAGGAATCGGACAATACTTCAAACTGTCAGGAACTAATTTTTCTTTATAGTAAGAAAATCACTTGGCAATTAGGGTCCCAGTAATTCTATTTTATACTTCAAACGACTTCATATTGAAGGTCATAAGGTACTTTGAACTAAAATGCAAATTTGTGAACTGTTAAGGATCCTTGACCAAGAGAAAATCTCATCAATGAATGATAATTGCTCCATCTTAGGTAAATTTGCATTTAAATTAGAAAGGAGAGGACTAAAGTTAGCTGGGCTTTCTTTATATTAGTAGTTTTTGTGTTTTCTTTTTACAGATAATTTTACTAATTTTCCTTTGAGGAGTTAGCCATACTGGGGCTAACTACATAGGCTTTAAAGGGTTAACTATACAGGCTCAGCAAGACAAGGTCTCTGTCTACCTGACAACCAATATCTGCATGACTGGAATGTTCAAATGTTGAATGAATTGTTCAGTGCTGCCACTCATAGTGGCATCAGGTAGATAGAACACCCCTAAGGTTTTGGAAACAACGTAGAATGTTGTATAAATCATTTCCAAATCCAGGCATACAACCATCTTGATCTTCCTGTTGACTTTCCAGTAAGTAAGTGTCCAAAGAGATATACTGTTGGAAATGACAAATCCTGGTGAGATGTAACATCCTGAGGTACATGAACACTGGATTAGGGGAGGGCACTATGAATCAGTACCTCTCTAGACTCTCTAGATGCATTTTGTCTTTATAAAACCTTAACTTTAAAGCCTATTTTTTATTAGCCAAGGGACTTAACAGCTTTCTTCCCTATGACAGTGTTTGCAATTATAATTAAAAAATGTATTAAAACTAGAGAGTGAATTAATGTGAAAAATAGATGAGGACTTGGGACTAGAAGATTTCCCCAGCTAGGTGTGAAGGCATAACTAAGTCTGAGAAAAAGGAGGTAGATTCCAAAGCAAGTATAAGAATCTAAAAATTTTGAGGAATGCCCTTATGTGTTCAAATTTCCATGCTTGTGTGAACGTAACTGTTAAATGAAAATGACCCAAGACTTCTCATGTAGTTTGATTGGCCTTCATAGTGCTCTGTGCTAACAAGTTGCTCTTTCGGTGTCTGTGCTCTCCTAGTCACTATTTTTGGTCACTATTTTTCACTGAGGAGATGCCTAAGGCAAAATTGTTTTAAGAAATAGCTCATAGGATGGCATCAAAATCTTCTGGGACATAGAAAAACTTTTAGCTTAAAGTACCAGAGGGATGTTTTAGGGATAAGGCTGTCATAACCAATCAAAAGGAAGGCTCTACCAATTTACCCAGGGGAAAGGAAACAGGTTTGTTTATCCCTATTAGAATGGAAGTGGTTGCTTCCCTTTCCTAGGACTCCAGAGGATATATATTTCTGCTTCACAGCTTCAAAAAGGGAAGAAATAAGCTGATTAAGCCATGGTCTATTTAGTTGTAATCTTTGTGTAGCTTCAGGATATGGAATACTAAAAGGTAGGAATTCCTTACAAAAGGTGTCAAAATACTTTGTACTTTCAAGAAAATTCCTAGAAGAGAGTGAGAAAAATCTAAAGATTAATTCTTTAATCATCATGGGGTACAGAACTAGTTCTTCCTTATCATGCCGTGCAAACACAGACTTCCATTTTCTTCTTTATTAAATGACCACTTCAAAAGATTGCACCTGGAGAACTTAGAAAGTTTAGCCCTTTGGATCTGGCAATACCTCTACCTGCTAGAATAGAATAGATATTTTTGATTAGTCTTTGTAGGGGCCAGCAGTCAGTAAATGACTTACCTTGAACACATGGGATTATTGAGATCCATGTCACTGACAGCAACATACACAGGGAAGGCCACACATACAGGGAAGGTCAATATTTCCTGTTTCTCCGAAGGTTTCTTCAAGTAGGAGGAGTGGGCATGTTGACCTTTGTCCCTATTCCTGCATCATAACTTAGTGCTACAATATGGGCAACTGCACTTTGTGCTCCTTCTGGCAATGCCTTGTCTCTTCATGTTATCTTATTCTTGCTTTATGCTTTACCTACTAAGCAAACATAGAGATTAGAGGAGACTTACCTTAATTCCAAAATACTAACGGAGTTTCCTGAGGGAAATATTCGCCTTACAAAATTGAAGTCACCAACATACACACTGCCATCAGGGCCAGAAGCTAAGGCGACAGGAGCAAACAGTTTGTTGTTGTAGGCTGGGCCATTGCAGTTGGTGCAGGCTACACTCCTTTGGTGTCCATTACCCATTATGGTTGATATGACTGGGGGTTGCTGCGAAATGAACATATTTTCTCCATTTCCTTTGTGTATGATTCCTAGACCCAAAGGGGAAAAAAAAGAGAGAGAATAAAAAAGGCAATTAGCACACAATAATCTCAACAACATTTTAATTTCTCTCTCATCATTCAAAGCAGGAAGGACCTTGGGCCTGGCATAAGATAAACTGAAAGTGAAACACACTGTTCTTGGTTTTAATTGTATAACAACAATAAATAGTAATGTACCACTTTGCCTCAGTTTGTCTATCTGTGAAGTGGGGTAATACAACCAGTACATTTAATGCTGATTCTAAATGCCTCAATAAAGCACTTGATGACTAACTTTTAATGATCTGTTCACTCTGGGCTCTGTGAATAATTTGCAGCTAATTTTTCATCTCCAGCTGGCTTTCTCCTGATGCCTGGCACACACCTGCCTGACTTCAAATTACACTCACTGTGCAACCAGTTCCTGAAAAGAGAATATCAGTCAATTTTAATATCAACCTTAGCAAAACACAATCAGGAAGGTAATCTACTTCTGTGAAAAGGAAAGAAATCCTACTGCTGGAACACGCTTCAAAGATATACAAAAGTGACTCAAATTTTCCACTCTTTTGGACCATATCTTACTATCATCAGTGCAGGAAACAGAGATACTGACTTATGAAAATACTTTGCAGTCGTTCTGTCTGGGCAATCTCATCCATACTCACAGCTTTAACTCCCATCTCTATATGAAGGGTCTTCAAAAAGTTCATGGAAAGATTTGTATTACCTCTTAATTCTATTTTTTCCACAAACTTTCTAAAGTACCTTTGCATATGCTAAAAATTTCTCCTGTCCAGAGTTCTCACCTAACATGTAATTTCCCACTAGACCTCTTTACTTGAGTGCCCCACTGGTATCTCAAACTCAAAAAAGTTTAAAACTGAATTCATTATTTTACTACATCCCCCTACCAAATCTTGCTCTTCCTCCTGTGTTCCCTAATCAGCTCATGAGTGGTATCGCCATGCGTGCAGTTACCTAAATTGGAAATCTGGGTATCACCATGGCTCTTCTTTTTCCCTCATTCTCTAAACCTAATTAATTACTAACTCCCATTGAGTTTATCTCCTAAAATGCATTGAAACCAGTTTCTTCCTTCCCATTCCTACTATTATTGCTTTAGCTCAGTTTTTCTTAACTTCCTGGTCTCCTGGTCCCCAGACATAAATACCCACCTCTAAACCATCTTCCACACTCCTGCCATAGACATTATTTCAGTCTGTGACTTTCAATAGCTCCATATTCCCTGTAGGATAATGGGCACATTCTCTACTGTTAAAGTATACAAAGTCCGTCATTATTTGGCTCTTGCCTACTTCTTCAGTCTCCCCTCTCATCGCGCTCTCATTTGTATCCTGAGTTCCAGCCACAGCAAACTATTTAGTTACTTTCATGTACTTCCATTCCTCTCTGCTTCTGTGCATGCTGTTCACTCTATCCTGAATGCCCTCCTCATCTTGTCTTCATGGGAAACTTCTACTCATCGGTCAAAGCTCAGCTCAAGTCTTTCCCAATGCTCTGTCCAGGGAGAGTTTGTTACTCTCTCCTCTGAGTGCCCATAGTTTGTTTTCTAAAGCTCTATTATAACACCTACCACAATGTATGATACAGTTTTCTTTACTTCTCTATCTCCCCCTTAGAATATGAATGAGCTCCTTAAAGGAAGACCCTCTGTCTTACTCTTTTGTGTATATTAGTGCCAGTCCCTCTGGCCAAGTCATTATAAGTGCTCAGTAAATGTTGAAAATAGGTTTTGAGTCTCTTGTAGTTTCCTTGTCCAAATCCCAATGATTTTGCAAACCTGCTAAGCCTGGGCACAAAATCCAAGGAACAGGTACTGCTGTGCTAAATAGCTCAAGCCAGCCCAGAATGAGTCAAGGCTGGTAAAACATCCATGTTGTGAGAAGGCATGCCAATGTGTCAGACTGAAGTAGCTGAAAGCAAGTGAATGAATGCAGTTATACCGTAGAGCCTTAGTTTTTCTTCCGTGCCCCTGCTATGTATCTCCTCGGAATGCCTGTTGCTCTCCCTAAACATTTCCTGAAATGTCTTCCTCAGTTTTCTTTCAACTTTTGGTCTCAAAGTCCTATAATAGAAACTAATGATTACTATGAGATAGGGACATTGCTGGCAAAAATAAATAAGAGGGTAAAACATGCATTATACCATGGCACCAACATATACCTGGAAGAGGCCTTCCAGGAAACAGAAATCCTCATCTGTCATATAGTCTTTGGGCTTTAAATTTAAGTATTTTTACTTTCTTTCCCAGGGTGATTTCTGGCTACTTTTCCAACATATGATTTGTAGGAGCAGCTGTGAGTTTATGCCCTAACAAATTGGTCTTTTATTGCAGACCTATGAGATATCTTGAGGATCACTACTTTCTTATTATTTTATTAATAACTTTATTAGATACTAAAGACATTTCTTAAGATTTAGAATAGTTAATTAAGTAAGATTAACAGGACTGAATTTCATATCCTCCCAAAATTTAATTGCATTGTGATCAATGTTGCAATTTAAATGATTTGGAAGGAAGTGAATGAGAATTGGAATGACAGTTCACCACATCATTGAAAAGAAATCTGAGGATTGCTAACTAAATATCCTACCAATAAGACTACGATATGTTCTTTAGCAAATGAGGAAACCAGTGTTTAGCATGTCAGTATTTTAGCAATGTACTATAGTGTATAACAATCAAAAATATTTCCAATTATTGTCTTGAAAATATCAGATTTGCTATTAATATCTATTTTCACAGGTAGATCTCCATTTTTTTTATATCAATATAACAGTATAGTTAACAATTACCCTCAAAATGACATGTTATTACCGGGCTCCTGGCAATTTCACAACTAAAGATGGCTATTCTAAGCCGTTCTTCTAAGCCTGCAATTCTAAAACTCCCCTTTTCTATTAGGAAGCCCAGTACTCCATCAAAGAAGAAGAATGATTAAAGGAAATAAAACATAAGGCAATGTACTTTCTGATTACATCTCAACAATTGATGTCTTGCTTTCATGCAAGGTACTAAAGTGCCTGTGTACTGAAATTACCATTCCTGTTTAAAGCTGAAGCAATCAAAACAAAAATGGACAAACCCCTTTTGTATTGCCCTGGAAAAATAGATCATTTTGAAGGGTGTTTTTGTTGTTTCAAGAATCTGTTTAACCTTCCATTACATAGAACCGGGGCATACCATCTAGCAACAATGATTTAACGCCAATTCTTCAGCAAAAGGTTGCTTTGAAAATATTTTGTTTATGTTCCTGGAAATCTTGATCAATTACTGTTGCCTCCCTTCCAGTTTATTCTGCCACACATGCTCATTTTAAAAGCAGAATCAAATGATCCTAGGACAACACACATCATTTATATAAAGGCCAACATCCCGCTAAGGATAGGGTGTTTTGTTTACAGTCAACAATGAAACCCCACTGATGGGGCCCACTGCACATTTTCTCCCCTAAGTTTTCCTTTTCTCTGCCAAAAAAGTCATCTGTTGTGTAATAAGGTATGCACACGTTTATACACGATACTCATACCTTCCTGCTACCTTGCTCAGAACTTCTTTTGAAGCCTATAAATAAGTCTGAAATAAAATTCCCCTTGGAAACCAGTGGGTGGTGCTTTATGCTGATTTCAAAGAAGAAACCATTTTTCAGACTTATGAACAACAAAGGACACAATACATATTTCTCTTAGTACTTGACTGAGAGGATATAAACATAAACTGGGAGAAACGCCAGTGCGATCAATGGAAATTTACTTCCCCACCCAGTAAAACCATTTGTTGACAAGCTACTGGTCTATCTTGGAAGGCTAAGTTAAAGGAAGTTATTTATTCATTTCAGACAGATGACAATACTTACTTAGTACCTGGGATTGTTCTTTCCAATAATTTTTAATACTCAACTGGCAGGAAACACTAGGGGATATATTTGATAAAAAGATGTACTAAACTAATAGCTTAGCTCTGTAATATATGATTCACCTGCACACATTTTCCCCATAATTTTAAAGAACTGCATTTTCTTTTCTGTCTTTTTTTCCTTCCTTCTTTTCTTTCTATTTTTTGGCAGCTGGCCAGTACAGGGATCCGAACCCTTAGGTCAGGTAAAGGGCATAAAGAAATATCACCATTTGCAAGAATGAATATGCTAATAATAAATAAAAAAATTAAGAAAACAATAACTACATTTTCTTAAAAGGAATGAATTTGGACTCTCTATAGGACAGTCCTCCCTTATTCTTGGGGGATATGTTTCAAGACCCCTAGGGGATGCCTGAAACCACAGATAGTACTGGACCCTATATACGAGAGTACTTCAGAAAGTTCATGGCAAGATTTGTATTATTTTTCAATTCTATTACTTCCACAAACTTTTTGATTCTATTATTTCCATGAACTTTTTGAAGTACCCCTGTGTACTATGCTTCTTTCTATACATGTATATGTGATAAAATCTAATTTATAAATTAGGCACAGTAAGAGATTGACAACAATAACTAAAAATAAAACAGAACAATTATAACGATATGTCAGCATCACTACTCTTGTGCTTTAGGGCTGTTATGACGTAAAATAAGTGTTGCTTGAACACAAGCACCATGATTCAGCCACAGTCGATATGATAACCAAGACAGCTACTAAGTGATTAATGGGTGGGGAGTGTATACAGTGTGGAGACATTGGACAAAGAGATAATTCACATCCTGGGTGGGATGGAGTGGGATGTCACACAATTGAAAACATGAATTTCTTTTTTGGAACTTTCCATTTCATATTTTTGGACCATGGTTGGCCATGAGTAACTGACACCTAGGAGAGCAAAACCTTGGAGAAGGAAGGACTACTGTAATCACTAAGAAGATGTATTTTGCAGGAATAATGTTGAAAAACACAGTTCCTGGTGTTTTTTAATCTCAGTGAAAGGAAGGAACATTTACATATATATATATATATATCAGGCATAATATTTGGAAACAATTCTCCACAACCAATGGTTAATTGTCAGGTAAATATAATTGCTGCAACTGAAATGACAAATGATCTGAAAACATTGCCTACTGGAAACTACCCACTGCATAATGATTTTGGAGGCAATGAAAAACTGAAGAATAGAATGGCAGCAGGCATCCAGTCTAATTATAGGTGTCTTTTCAGCCAGTGAGAGGAAATTGGGAGAAGACAGATTTTGTTTCTAATCTGCTATCGGTTTCAGATCAAAAAACCAGGGTGCTTAAAGAGTCAGGCTTTTTCCAAAGAGAAGTGGAGAGGGAGAATTTGAAAAGATGTCGCTCTTGCCTTAATCAGTCAGAAAAGACTGTCTGACCTGAGGGGGAAAGAGCACTGCTTTCTAAATTGGTCTTCCCAAAGCTGCTTCATCACACTTATCATTCCTGCTTCTAAAACTGCCTTTGTGGGTGGCATTTAGGCTTTGAAAACTTCCCAAAAGAGGTGTTTGTGTCCAAGGTCAGGCTGAAAGGCAGTGGCAGAGCTGGCTTCAGATCTGTTTCCTGGCAAGTGTGACCAGTTCTTGGTTAGAAATACAATGTGTCTACAAATGAGATGATAAAATGGACAAATGTTCCTTTTACAAAACTTTACAAAGTAAGTCATCTTTCTCAGAATAAAATTCTCAGAAAGGTGGAGACAGAAAGCAGATTTAGTGGAGCTGCAAGAGATCTTTCTGGGGTGATAAAAATATTCCAAAACTGGGTTGTGGTGATGGTTGCACAAGTACAAGTTTACTAACAGTCCTTGAAGTATATACACTTAAAATGGGCGAATTTCATGGTGTATAGATTATAATTCAATAACGTTGTCAAAAAATAAAGTTGTTATTCTCAGAAACAACTTGGTACCTACCTATTACCTAAAAACTAATTATTGGTGAATTAGGGGTGGAGAGAATACATTGGTGAAAATCAGGGTATCCCAAAGCCAACTCTCTGAATGGCTCCTCTCTGTTTGGAACTTTTAAGTCTGTGTGAAGCAAATGGTAAGAGGATACAGGACTGGGAGCACACAGCGGGGGGCCGGCTCGATTGAGGTCATTTCCCACTTTGTGTTTAATGTCAATGACAGGCATTTGAAAGAGACAATCCATACATGCCAATAAAAGTGAGTGGAAAAGAAACGGCTGCTTAAAATGTCAAACTCTCAAATCAAAACAAAAAACCTAATAATTTAATAAGTGGCACCTGCCCTTTCATTTTTGTACTTTTAAAACTGTGGTTCTCCTTTTGACAACAGGAAAAAAAAGTTGACATTTTATATCTGTGCCTGAATCTTTGCTCTTAAAAAATATACACAATTTGAAATGGAATTTAGAATCTTCTTTGAAGCGCGGAAGGAGGTATAATGGGGGCATAGAGCAATGGACTTACTCACCTTCAGGGTCACACAATGAGACTATGGTGGGTGGTCTCATTCTATGGTTGAAGCAAACCTGGTTAGGTTTGCCAGTTAGGATTTCCCAGCCTGTGTGGCTGGTTGGCATGGCTGATTTGACTATGGTGCAAACAAAATAAGATCCTGGGCATGATTGTAAAATGGATTTCTTAGCCTGGGTCAGTTCATGGCCTTATAAGATAACCCAGCCTTAGCCAGCTGTTCCACAAAGGTAGGATGGATACAAGAATGGCTGGATGAAAGAGTGTAGCTGCCTCAATACATTCTCATCCCCAATTCTGAAAAGATAACCTAAAGTACATGTCCTACCACAGCTTGTTCAGAATCTGCCTCTTTAGGTGAAAAGGAATATGACTCCACAGTGAAAACTTACTAGTAGATGTTCAGAGGAAATCTGGATGGGAACACCAATGACCAGTTTCCCAGTCGGATGCAAAAGGAGGTCATTTCAATCACTTTGTTTTAGTTACATCCTCTACATTCATGCTTAATTCCAGGAAAGGAAACCTGTAAAAGAAAAATGAGAGTAATGCAATTTTAATTAACACACAAGGTTAATGTTTACCTGGTACTAATTAAAACACTAAAAATGTTCTAAAAATAAAACTTAACTATGTGTGGGCCGACCCGGTGGCGCACTGGATAGTGCGCCGCTTGGGAAGCGCGGCGGCGCTCCCGTCCGAGGGTTCGGATCCCACATACGGACCGGTTCCCGCTCACTGGCTGAGCGAGGCGCGGGTGCAACACCGAGGGTTGCAATCCCGTTGCCGGTCCCCGGTCCAGTACGGGGGCGACACTGAGGGTTGCGATCCGTTGCCGGACATGGAAAAAAGACAAAATAAAAAAAAAAGGAGGTGGAGGAACATGGATGAAGGAGTTATAAGCAGGGTAGCAAAATCAGTTTGTCTAGGAGAAGCACGGACTCAGAGGCCATCTGTTGTCCCTTCTCCCGATTTATTTAATGTTTAAATGACAAACTAGGAGGAAGTGACTGCAGTAAAAGTGTTCTAAGTAAGGGAGAGATTGAAGATGAGAGTATTTTGATTCTCACCATACTAACCCTAATTCCAAATCAAATTAGTATATTTGAAAGGAAATGTACTAATGTGGTCATCTCTAAGTGGTGTTATTACAGGTGATTTTTCTCTTATACTTTCCAAATTTTCTCCAATAAATATGTATTAGATAGCACTAGGAAAACAGTACTAATACAAATTTTAACAGCTGCTTACCACTTTGAGGATTCAAAATGTGATGCTTATTCAAGGACCAGCCTCCTAGGTTAGAAGCATCCATCTCAAAACCTTGTAAAACAACCGTCCTTTGCTCCCAGAGAATAAAGTCAGGGCACATCTCATATTCATATCCCACAGACACTGAAAATAAAGAATTAATAGTACATTAGAAAATTGTAAAATATTTGCTTTATGTTTATACTCAATGATAATTCTGTGGATATTACATTTGCTACTGAATTGTGATTTAGGTTGAAATTTGACTGCAAATGCCTTTCACCTACTATAGTATACAGCAGTGTACTTAGTATAGCATTGTTCATCCAAAAGTGATTACTTAGTTCAAATTGGTTAAATATATGAAGGAGTGAATAAATGAATGCTGTCATTAGGTAGGTATCGTATGTTTATGGACATTGAGCTTTATTTTGGGCTTTTGGGTTGGAGACTGTGCTGTAAAACCAAAGAGAGAAGCTCTCTGCAAGATTAAGTTGTGGTAGTATAATTTCTCTCTCTACTTTTATAGGAGAAGTGCAGGGAGGGCTGGTTTCTTGCTTCTATACAGTACAAAATGCAGTCAGGAAGCCACCTTTGGAGTACTGGGTCACTTATACAACAACTGACTACACACGAAACTAATAAAAATTGATTTGCACAATTTATATTTTCTCCTGAGCTAACTGGCCTTTAGTTTGCTGAGAGGACTGAGTTTGCTTAGAGTGCTGCAAGTGTAAATTCTAGTTTGTGCAAATTATGTTTTGGTTTCTGCATATAGTTAACCAATGGGACATCACCCAACGTTTGGCTTTAACTCCTAGGAAGCACAGATGTTGTGCATTAAACTTGGAACCCTGGTATGCCACTAAAATGGAAGTGCAGAATGTGGTAGCTTGGGTGTCTCTGCTCTACTGAAATATGTATAGCTCAAAAATACCAAGTCCCAGCCATTTTCCCAGTTGGTAAACCTGCTTACCTGTTGGAACCACAGATTTCTGATTCCTGAATTTAAAATGCTTTCTATCCTCATAATGTTCTAAGCCTGAGAGTACTGGCTCATTGCAGTGCATATCCTGAAGCTGCTTTCCCCTTTCTGGCAGCTGAAAATAGCCCCAGTTCATCTGTCATGTGCCATTGCTTTTGAGAATCTGCCTCTACCTGACTCTTTAGATGCCCCTGGAGAACTCAGGCCTTTCTTTGTCATTTGGTTATGAAAACTGCTAATGGAAATGGGTGCTTAAACAATGCCAGCACAATAGGTCCAAAGTGGAAAATTAAAGCAAACTAGTTTTCTTTTTTGGCATTAGGTAAAGGGAAAAGATGGTAATTTTAGGCAAACTGATTTGTGTGTGCATGGGCATGTGTGTGTGTGAGCACATGCATAGATAAGCCAAAAAGTCCTTACAATTAGGAATGCACAACTCTCTAACTTTGCGGATCATCTGTGGCCGATTTTAAATTGCATGGTGGCTTCTCTTTGTTCTTCTCCCCATCAAAGCTTAGTGATCAGGGCCATTTTCATGGGTGTGGCTCATGCCTAGAAAGGCCCATACTTGATTTAATGCTCTGCAATAACTGTCTTGAAACCCCTAACACTTTTAAAACAAGAGGCTCTGTATTTTTATTTTCATTTCACTGGACCCTGATAAATATATGGCCAGTTCTCTTGGGGATGCCTCTCTATCACCCATCAGCTGTTGAAGACTCATGAATGTAAACTCATTTTAATATTAGCCTCAACCAAGCATTATTAGCAAGGGAGATCAGTGGGGACAGGGAAGACTAATCATAGAATGGAAATGATTTCTAAGCAGAAATTATTTTGGGATCATCTGTGACAATGCTGTTGTCTATTAAGGTTGGAGGAAATAGAATCTCAAGTGTGAAAGGGATCTCAAAGATAACTTAGTTCAGGTTATACTCATGGCACAAATCAATGCTTTCTACAGTCTCCCTGATATGTCATTATAGCCCCTCTACTTGTTAAAACAACTCTGATACAGTAGAAAGAGTTGGTTTTAGAATAAGGGTCAGAATAGACACCAACTCTTGGATCTGCCATTAATTAGCTGTGTGGGCTCAGGCAAGTTATTCTCTGTCTCTGGGAGTTGTGTTCTTCACTGGTAGCAAAGTGGGGAGGGGGTGACTAGAATCGGTGGTTCTTAGATTCTTTTGGATTCGGGAGTGCTTTATTGTGAATCTGATTAAAGTTATGGCTATTCTTCCTAGAATGATGCATATGCACACAAAATTTTGCACTTAATTCTAGGGGGTTCACTGACCTCCTGAAGTCCAAATAAAGACCTCAGATCAAAGACCTCCATACTAGATAATTCTTTTCATTGCCCTTTAGAATAACACTCTATGATTCTAAATTGTGTTCTTTCAAGATTGCATTTGATAAGTTCAGGTTGAGGATCAAACTCACAAGCCAAATAGAACACTGTATCTCATGTGGAAAAACCAGGTGGTTAGAAAGCACACTTAGGGCCACGTTGGTGTGTAGAATGACACGGTTTCTGCTTCTCTTGCCAACATTTAAAAGTCTTGATTAATAAATAATCGCAATAACAATAATTACAAGTTTCCTTAAAGCAATCATCTCCTTCCCCACAGCACACCTGGCAATTACTGGATCTGCCTTCTGTACATTGTAAGCCTGGTGAGCTTCCCTAGAATTCCTTCTCTGGAAGGTGATTGCGCAGTTTTGCAAATAAGTAGTGTGCCCTGGTGACCTCCAATGGTGGTTTGGAGCCTGCTTTTTTCCCTTCTCAGTTAAAGATCCTTCTAACACTGTAGCAGGAAATGCTTACATAAAGTATCAATTAAGAATTTTCAATGCAATGGTAATGAGACATACATACTCTTTTTCACCTCCTCCTATTTGCTCTTTGAATTGCTCTCCTGTCCACAACAAAAAAGAGCATTGGCTGCAAACCCCACAGTTATATTACTTTTTTTCCCCAGTCACAGCAAATAACAGCAAGGAGGCCACTTAATAAGTTTCCTCTAATTTTTATTAGATTTACTTTCTCCTGAGAATGCTCTATGAGTTAATAAAGCTGTAATTTATACCTAAGACTTGTCTAAAATTCCAACTGACTTTAATGAGAATGGCTATGTGTTGGGGTAATTTTGTATGTGGCTCCTTGCTCAGAGTAATGAGGCAAGGTTTCTTTCTGACAGCAGCCCACTTTAACATAATCCTGGAACTTGCAATTGGCTTTTGAGAAGGCAGACGTTTCACCCCACGGAATTGAGCTTCTCTCCAAATGCACGGGAACTGGCAAATGCAGTAGCAACCAATCCTAGACTTCCTCTCATGGAAGCAGACTGTAATGCACTGAATGCCTATTCTTTTTTGTGTAATTAAATATGGGGAAAAAGGACTATGCTGAGGCTGTTGCTGAAAAATGCTGAGCCTTGACACCACACTTTGCCTCATACTGTCACGGTTAGCCTCAGTGAAATAAGCAGAGTGGACCACTACCATTTCCCAGGTGCCCTGTTGCCTATTAAGTCTGATCATCAACACAGCATGGTATAGGGCATGGAATCATCCTCTGGAGCTCTGGATTGGGGACTAGGAAGAATAGTGTAATAGGAAGGAAAAATTATTCTTCAACATTTCAGAGGAGCTGTAGAAGGCAGACTAGACACAGTGAGCAGAGATGGGAGGGCAAGGGGTCCTGGACTACACTTCCCAGGGGCTGGCAAAGTGGTCCCATGCTTTGTGCATATGTTGGGAAGGCAGTGAGAGAAAGCCATTAATATGGGAGGATAATTTCTCTGAAGTATGTGACTATCTCCCTTGTGACACCCTTAATTCCATTTGGATTTCTGTCTTCTTGTATCCTCTCCCTAACCCCACACAGAGATATTAATGGAATTTTCCTTAACTGAGAGTTATTGATTGTCAAGATAGGCTTGTAACTTTTGCAGAGAACTCTGTCCTCTGGTCATAGGATTGCACCTCTGACTCCACCGTTAGTCACCTTGCAAATATTACACTGGCTTATAAAGAAGACTGGGTGAAAGACTTCAGCTTGCTCCCCCAAAGCCATTTGACATTGGAAAAATAACTCTGAATGCTAATTCTACTTATCAGAGCAGTAGCATATGTATGGCATAGGGACCTCAAGAAGGTTGAGGGCCACAGTGTTCCTGACACCTAGTTGAGTGACTATGACATTTATCTATAAAGGCTGGCATAGGATATCGACATTAAGTAGCTAAGGTAAAGATGCCATGCAATGAAGCTGATGTGCAAAATATGACAAGATTAAGCAGATGATTTTCAAAAGCTTCAGGCTAAGTCTTTAGAATTCATAATGGTTGCATTTATGACGGCAATATATAATTAAAATTAGTCTGATAGTGTGAGAAATTTATGTGTTACCTTCATGAACTCAAGGAACATCTAAAAATAATTTCATGACATTTGAAAGGTAACTAACTACAAGATGAAAACCTTATTCTTCCAAAAGAATCATTAAATTGAACAATAAATATTTCCCATTATTTTAAAATGTTAGATTAATGCGAAAACAAAGACAACAATAAAAAACAAAAGACCTAAAGAACCAAGTGAAGGCCATGTCAACAATAGACCAAGACTATGCAGATAAAATGCTATCTATTGAAAACAGGTACCTGCTCTCAAAGCTTTGTCTATCTTTTCCTATTTTCTAGTGATTTATCGTAGGATAGGATGACCTCAGTGGCTCCTCAATTTGTCACATTGCCCAATGGCCTGAAACGCTTTGTTTATCTGTTATTCCTAGCTTACTGAGAGTGTCAGAATCGGGTGCTGAATTTTCATCAAGTGGCTTTTTAGCACCTAGTTTTCTCCTTTAATATATTAAGATAGTGAATTATAGCAATAGATTTCCTAATGTCGAACCGTCCTGTGGCCTTAAAATAAAGTCTACCTGGTTATGATGTATCATCCTTTCAATGAATTACTGGATTTGATTTGGTAATACTCTACTTAGGATCTGTACCCTACCTGTTTACAAAAATAACAGTTAAACAAGATAGTGTTAAGAATGAGGTAGTTGGATGAAGAGAAAGTACAGGTAGGAAAAAATAAAAAAAGCATCCACGACTGAGGTAGCTACACAACACTTTTGCCAAATGGTCCA